TTCCCAGAGCAGCTAGCCTGAGACACTTAGAGTGATAGTCGCCATCACTCGGCGCCCAGTCGGCAAGCTGGACGCTCATCTATGTTGAGTTGTATGCGCGCATGCATCTGTCTGGGCTGCCAGCCCGCCCGGAGCCCATTGCACACAGGCGCCCAGTGTGCACGACAACTTGGCGTTGAGGGCCTTGTCAGCCCTGTGGCGGGCTGCGCGCCGGGCGGCGTGTATGGTGGTTGTAGTTTGCCGGATGGCGCAGTGGAGGGCTGAGACGGTGTATTGAGATGGTGAGATGCAGAGTGCCTGCCGCTGCCCGCCGCGCCTGCCGCGGCGCAAATCGTCAGCCGTCCCAGCTTTCCTGTCATCTGGGGCGCCGGTTGCAGCAGCGCCAGGTCCAGAGGCGGGCTCAACGGTGGCAGCGCAGTGCGGGCTGCCACACTGGCTCACGAGGACGCTCGAGACGGGTGCGGCCGTCATCGTGATCGTGTCCCTCGTGGCCATGGCGTTCGCGCTAGGGTACGTCGCCTGGAAGGTGGGCAGGCGCCGGCCGCTCGCATGTCGCTTGCGTGTCGAGCAACGCCCTCCCGTATCATGCTGCAGCGTGCCACCGGACATGGGTGCATCTGCTTTTGGGTGTGCCAGCCCCTGTGGGCGCCACCGTCTAGTGTGGACGTCACCAGCGCCCGCTGAGGTCACGGTGCTGGCGGACCCCTGTACCCCACGGCTGTGCAGCGCAACTCCGCTTAGTGGCCCCTACCCTCTCTGCCCCGCATGCCGTTCAGGGATCCATTCATTTGGCCTTCATTGTCCCGGGTGGCGTGTCGTCACAGATAGGAACATTTCAGTTTGCGGCTTCAGCGGCGGTAGTGGCAGTCGGCGTGCCGATCGCCGCTGTCGCCGGGGCAGCGGCATTGCTCAGTGTTTTGGCGTAAATTCAAGAGGGGCAGGTGCAGATCCAGGAGAAACTCAGGGAGGAATTCAGGGGGTCGCAGCGCGAGCTCACAGCTGTGATCCTTGGCCAGCAGGAGCAGGTAAAGCGAGATGTAGAGAAGCAGACGGATCGCGTCGACAGGCAGGCGCGCCGCATCGACGCCCTTGCGGGACCTGGCAGCCAACGCAGGCGCAACGGCAAGGTTGCTGATGCAGAAACCCAGGCGCTCAGCGGGGCCAGGCGCCGCTCAGCACTCAACCGCCGCCTGCGGTTGCGTCGGAAGGCTTCCCAGGAGTTGCGCCCCCGGGCCCCACTGACTGCGGTTGTCGGGCCCTCCCGTGAGCCCAGCCCCCCCACCAAAGCTCTCTCGAGTGTTGGGGCGCAGCCGGCGGCCCTGGAAGTTTGCGAGACAGACTTTCACCAGGAGGACAGCGCCACCGCTGCCGGCGCGGTGGCAGCGAATACTGCAGAAGCTTCAGCTACTGCGGGGCTGGAGGCGGCGGCGGGCGGGGACTTTGTTCTGGAGCAGGGAAGTGGTGGCAGCCCAAAAAGCGGCGTAGCCGCGGGCGATGAGGGGCCTGCATCTGCGGCTGCGCCGTCGTCAGCGGCGTCCACAGCGCTGGCCGACACCTGGCGGCGCTTGAGGCGGAGCGCGCTGGCCAGCTGGGGCTGGGGAGCGGCCGCGGTGGTCTGCTGCGGGCTGATTTTTGCACTCTGTCGGGCCCGTCGACGCTGACTGGGCCTCTCCTGCGGGGCGCATGCGCGCGCTTTCTGATCTGCCTTCGTGCAGTCAGTGGGCACTGTTGTTTGAGTTGCGTTGGCGCCATGCACGCCAGATTTGCAACCCTTGCCACTGCGGCATCTTTTACGGGTTGAATTGGATGTGTGAGCCAGGCACGACCCGAGCTTGGCGAAGGCACCTTGACATACCCCCGTGTACACACCCCCGTGTACACCCCCGTGTACACCCCCGTGTACACCCCCGTATACACCCCCGCGATCTGCGAGACCGATCTGCGAGACCGTGGCTCCGCCGCGCCTTGCAACAAAACGGCGTTTGAACGCATCTGGAACCTGAGGAGCTAACCGGGCGTCCAGCCAACGGCGGGACACCGGCGGAGTTCAACCCGGTTCAAATCTCCGCGCCCAAACTCGAATACCTGGGCGCACCTAGGTGCGCCCAGGCC